ATTGCGATATTACCTGACTAATGGCTTGCAATAAAATTTTTACGGTTATAAGCGTTTTTCTGATTTGATTTATTTACTCATGCAAAAGTACATTTATCATATACTAAAACGAATAATACTTTGAACGATGCAAATATTTCAATAAAACTATTTTCATAGGAACTAATTTTTAGAAAATTTGAATCAATTGTACTCGAAAAATTCGTTACAAAAAAATTTAATAGCTATAATCAAGAATTACGTTATTCCTAGCAAATATTTCACGAAAATGAATAGATAAAAATATTTTTACTCCGTTCTCGTATGGGAAGATTTTGTTGAAGTTATTGTAACAGTTATAGTCGTTCTTGTAGGTGCATTAGTTCCTTGAGGAGGTGTGGGTTGTGGATAAGGTGGAGGAGATGGTTTAGGTTCTGGATTAGGAGTAGGTGATGATTTGCCTTCGCCGCCGCAATCATTAATGTTAATCGCAGCAACGGATTGACTTTTAGCACGTTTTCCTGATTTGCTTTCACCATCAATTATGAGATACAAGCCAGTTTCCGGTCCTTGATCATCAAGTCGTTTCGGAAGTTTTTCATCATCGTAATTAATTACTTGGTCTTTGTAGATATCCTTATCATTACATGTTTTATATTTGACACCTTTTTCATCACAATCCCAGGTTAATTCATCAACTTGAATAACAATTGGTTTGGTTCCCCATGGCCCGATATCACATTTTTCAGATGGATGATGTCCATTTCTCCTATTAAGATAACGACTCGTTTTGAAATCTTTTTTTTTAGAATCATCAGAGTAACCATCACATCCACTATCCTTAACAAAATCCATATAGAGCCAATCGGTGAGATTAAAAAGCATATCACCACATCCATTTCGAATTGTCCAGTCGTAATCCCAATTGTCTGGATCTTGGAATCCGTATTGGTAAACACCAGTAAGCCATATTTCTCCATCGGTATTTTGATAAAATGTCATTTGGCCCTTTATATCCGATTCAGAAGTAGCCGTAAGCATGGCTCGTGGACATTGTTTTTCTTCATTATCTCTTTCGAAATATTTAGCGTAGGTAGTAGCCTCCAAGAAAGAAACCATGAAAATGGTTAAAGCGACTAAAGGAAAAGGTTTTTTCAAATGCATTGGTAGTAGTTTAAACGATTTTTGGTTTGTTATTAATAGAAGATTCAAGTTTTTCTACGCGCCAATTCAGCCTTAAGAGACAATTTATATATGAGACGAAAAAATTAGAATCGTAAAGTTATGTAATAATAACGTATCGAAAGCAAGTACGCATTATCGGACATTCTAGGCTATTACGGATATGGATGTAAAATGTGGAGTAATTATGAGGTAACGACGATCGAATATATTAGTGAATTACGTGTAAAGCCGGAATAATGAGGTAAGATCCAATTTAATTACGGACAATTAAATACACATCGATTATTAAAGCAGGTTATTCGAAGTATGATATCGATATCTTTTGAAGTAATTATTAATAATTAATTAAATTAATAATCACGTTTTACTTTTACTTGTATGTAATCAGGATTATTGTTAAGGGGTCAAATTTTAATTCTAAATAAGTTAATCACATTTACTTCATATATACTCAACTCTTATTATATACGTATAAATTATCCGAATTTTAATGAAAGTGTCTTAACGTAGTTCGCTTTACATTTCTATTTTTTGCAACAGGCGTAGTTTTAATTAATGACTGGATTACATCAATTCACTAAGCACATTTTTAATTAATGACTGGATTACATCAATTCACTAAGCACATTTTTTAATTAATGACTGGATTACATCAATTCACTGAGCACATTTTTTTTTTAGTCGAACCAATGATTATATGATGTGAATACAAGAAAAACGTACGTAAATAATATTTAAAAAATTATGGAGAAATAATAAAAGTGGAAAATTTAAATAGTGACGTATGAAGTAAATAAATATATCATATTAAAGAATCATTCAAAATTAGGGAACGATAAACAGCTCGACTTAGTGATTTTTTAATCTGTTTTGTTCTACTGTAAGTCGACACCACTTCAACAATCACTTGATTTTTTTTTTTAAACAAATAGATCTTTTCATAATAAGTAAAGTAATTCAAAATAATTACGATTACATATTGTTATGGTTACATTAGACTGTATGGGGCTAGTGGATTACATCATGTCGTTATAACTGTATAGAAATAAAACAGCGTTGCTCTGCATTCTAAAATTTAATATTTAAATAAAATTTTATCAAATTATATTAGTATCTTAGACTTTGTGAATAAAATTTTTAAACTTATATAAATATAATTATTACTTAACTGGAATCTTAACTGGAATCTTAATAAAAGTTATTCTCTGAGGCCTAAAATGTATACTGATAAATTTTGATGAGAAACTTTAATATTTGTGTAAAATTATCAAGAATTTTGTCAGTATGTATATATGGTTCAGCTAAAAATCTTGTACCTTACAGTATGGTACAGTAATATTTTTACAATAAATAGAGATTTTTATAGTTAATGATGCAAAAAAAGAAATTAAAATATGCTATAAATGTTTTTCTAATAGTTTTGTATACCAGGAACGAATGTAATGAGTGTATGGTTTATACGCTGTTTGGAGTGGGATTTGTCCGCAAAATCTTAAGTTT